ATTTTTATCAAACACGTAACTTTTGATTTCGCGCGTTGAATTGTGTAATAATAAGAAAAAGTAAGGTTGAAGTTGCTTTTATGACTGTATTGACTGAAGTTACTATATATGCTCATTTTAACTATTTTTTCTTATAACTTATTCTTTATTTTATTAGTAAAAAATATGTTAAATATGATTTTTCCATAAATCAGCAAAACCCGCCAATCTAATCGCTTCAGTCAGAACTTCATAAATATCAGCTGAATCAGTCGATTCAGCCAATTTCAGTGTTACCAAACGGGCTCTATGATTATATGAATGAGTATGAAAAGAGATATGATAGTTTTAATAACTATCACCTAGACCTGCACAAAACCAGCCCGTTCGGCCCGCCCGCACAAATGGGCGGGCTTGGGCATGTATATTTACCCACCGGGCTGGGCCCGTCCCAGCCCGCAATAACATATGGGCGGGCTTGGCCGGTTAGGGTGTATGCCTGCTCGAGCCAATAAGCCCGGCCCGCTACATTTAGTATATATAGGGGAGGGTTCAAATAAAAAGGAGTCTTAACGTGTAAATGAGAATTAATCCGAGCCGTCCAAATTTTCGATCTGATGCATAACACTGATTATCTAATGCAGTCTGCATTAAAACTTATTTGATGCACTTTTTGAAATGTGCATCAGATAAGTTTTAATGCAGAGTGCATTAAATAATCATTATTGTGCATCAGATCAAAAATTTGGACGGCTCGAATTAATTCTCATTTTACATGTTAATACCATTTTTATTTGAATCAAACTCAACACACACACATATACTAATTTATGTAGTATTTATTTATTTACATGTACACATGTATATTTATATTTGCTAATTTATCTTTATACATATTTATAGTTTATATTAAGTTTTTAGTTTAACAACTAGCTCAATCAATATTAAGTTTAACAACTAGCCCAATCAACATAATATCTATTTTTGTACTTAAAGATAATATTTTGTGCTTGAATTTTAAATTTTAGATATAGTTTCTCATTATTGTTTTTGTGTAAGTATTTTTTGTGTATGTGGTGAAAGGCCTATAAATATTATGTGTATTAACAATTTTTTAAGTGTTGTAATAATATTTCTAAAGTATTAAAAAAATTATATAATTTTGAAAATTTTAGAGTTTTTCCCGGGCCGGGCGGCTCGGTGGACTACCCGCAGCGCGCTCTTACGAACGGGTATGGACATGGGGTTAGGTCCATTTTTGCAGGCTTGGGCGGGCCTGCCCACACATGATGGGCAAAAAAATTATATTAAGCCCGACCCGAGCTCGGCCCGAACCCATTTTTGTGCAGGTCTACTATCACCAACTCGGTTTGTGCATTTCGGGTTTACATATTTTCAATTGGTTTCATACTTGCAATCATTTCTATATTTGCGAGTTAGTATGTTTTATGTGGAAATTCAAATTGAGAAAAGTATATTGGGGATCGTTGGAAAAATGATTTTATCTTAATATAATGGTCACCTTTGAGCCAAAATAAATAAAGGATCCACAATTTGTTTGTGGAAGGACTAAGTCCTAACCTATTGTACTCCGAAGGTGAATGCAATCATATATTAAAGTGTACAAAACCACTTAGAAATAATTGGGAAATTATTCCCCGAACTTGTCTAAAAACTATTTTCGGGAAGAACTTTGTCCCGTCCACACAAAAAATGGAGAGTTAAGAAAGTGCCTTTATATAAGCTTTCCTTAGCTACTGTGTTGGGCCCTTAGAGCACCAAAGTTTTGTTGTGAGGTGAGATCCGTATACGCTGGCCGTGGAATTAATACTTTACACACGAGCACAGCCGTCGCCGCCCGTCTGGCCGGGTTCGGTCTTTGACTGGTCAACTCGGTGTTCAACAGTCCATGAGACGTTTGCTACGTGTGTCCGGCAAAAACGCCTTAAGGAAACAACGCTTGAGTTAGGCTCGATTACAAGTAATCTTTCGTTAATTATTTAAATGGTATTTCATTTGCATGCGGAATATTAGTACACATATAACAAGGATTTGAGGGGTACAACACACAAACTAAACTATAAATATAAATCACAATTCCAATTGAACTCGCCCATATGACACATTGTTTTGTGATGGCAAATCATTTATACTTATGAATTAAATAATGAGTTTCTATTTCTGTATTATTTTTTTATGAATTTTAAAATTTTGACATAATTTTTTTTTATTTGGGAGAAAAGTGGGTTATATTAGTAAAACAAAATTCAAGAAGATACATACAACATATTCGATTCATGTCATGTGATTAAGTGATAATGTTGCATGTCCGTCGCACGCCTACCACAACATGCTCCTCCTCCTTTATCATTGCTTGAGACATGCATGATACAAAAAATGATCTCATGACAGAGTTTCAGACAAGATACATCATGATAAAAAATCCACATCTCGCTCGATGAATCAATGATCACCTGCTAAGAAGCAATATAACGGTCTAGGGAAATCTTATTAACTTCTTTTATCATTTCTCAAAGAGATAAGGGTCAGATAGGGTCTCGAACTTGAAAAAAAATGTCAAATAAGGCCATATTTAGGATGCTCTGTCCGGCCGACGCCATTTGGGGTGGTTCCCGGTAGAATTTTTTGATGAGATTTTTTGAGAATCTGATTCATTAAGTCTAGTTTACTCATATAAAATTTGAACTAAAACTTTAATCAGAAAGGCATTCAAATGAATTCTTGAAGATAACTGTACCGTTAAAAGCGCAGTTATCTTCATGAATTCATTTGAATGCCTTCCTGATTGAATTGTTAGTTCAAATTTGATATGAGTAAACTAGACTTAATGAATAAGATTCTCAAAAAATTTCATCAAAAAATTCCACCGGAAACCACCCCAAATGGCGTCGGCCGGACAGAGCATCCTAAATATGACCTTATTTGACATTTTTTTTCAAGTTCAATTCGAGGCTTTATCTGACCCTTATCCCTTTCTCAAATTTTAACTTACTAAGCATATACTCCGTACTTCGTAACTATAACACGTAGTATTTCATTATTTTTATAAATAATAATCATTAGAACTAAAGACTTTCAAATTCAATCACAATACTTTGGGTATGTAAAATATGAACATTAAAATAATATAATGTTTTTATATATATAATAATCATTTGTGTTTAATTTTGAATATAAACGATATCATATTTTCTATTTTCTTACTTTTGGGTAAATTCTATCGGTCGAGGAGTTCACCTTCAATGGTAAATTACAGTTAGTGCCATCACTTGGATCGCCTTTTTAATTTCTTTTTTTTTTTTTACTTCAGGGGGTGTCTGGGGGAGGGAGGTTGGGGGGTCTGGAGTCAACTGCGTTGAAACTCAATCCATTGAGTTTTGAACCCGAGACCTCCCATTTGGGAGAGTGGGTGGCGACCAGCTGAGCTGGACTGCTTTTTTAATTTCCTTTTAATATAAAATTATTAATACGAATCAAACTAAATCAATTAGGTTGCACAAGAATAACCTGAACCCACATAACCCGCTCAACCCAACCCTACCCGATCATTTTTAATCTGGTATTTGATTTAAATAAATATTCATGGATTAAATATGTATATGTACGAACTTGCACTTAATGGATAGAGTTGCAGAATGAAAATCTCAAATCCTATAGCAACCGACCAGACCGAAAATTAATTTTGCTATTATTATGCTATGTTGGATAATTTTATTTAAAACCGATGTGCTCTATCTAAGACTTTATGATATTGTAATTATAAATATTTACCATTTGACTAGGTGATTATTAACATTTACCATTTGACTTTATGTATTATGTTTGCTTCTAAATGAACTTCCTTTATGCAAGGATGTTTTGAAACTATTGTCCAAGGTTTATGCTTATAAAAAGTACTTGTATTTTTTTGTATTTTGGAAACAAGTTAACCGAGTTTCAAATTGGTTGCATTAGTTGATCATATTAAAGATACAACCCGAAGTCTTTTTTCCAATGTATGTCCCTATCGACTCGTTCATGTATGGTTTACTAGGGGTGGACACGGGCCGGTCAAATATTTTGGCGAACTCGTATCGTGACTATTGAAACGGTTCGATTCGGTCTTACGCCTAAACCCGTTCGGTACACCTTGTCATCATGTTGGCATTTGCCTACACATAGTATTAAATTTTGCCCATACAAGAATGTGTAGGTAAATACCAAATTAAGTATTATCCACACATAATTCCATGTATGGGTACTAAGTTTTACCTACGGTCTTATACCCACACATCGTTACACTTAACATATGTGTAGGAAATCGCATTCCCACCCATAGATGTGCATTTACCAACACACAAATGTGTGGGTAAAACCTCTATACGGTCCACTTTCAAACGAGACTGTACCATGCCATACTAATATCAAATAATGTCATTTTTTCAAGTGTTTAAGAAAAATTAAAGTATAACCATCCTCCAAAAATCTACACAATTTATCAATTTTCATATTTCATACTACCTCCGTCCCAAATTGATTTGCAAAGTCAACTTTTTTTGGTCAAACAGTTTCATATATTCTAATTTGGATCTTTCAACATTAAAGAAATTTTAATGAGGTTTCTAAATATGTAAATTTTATTTATTAAAAATTGAATTTATTATTATCACAGAGGACTTAACATTAGCATTGGGTGACCAAAAAATTGTGACTTTGCAAATCAATTTGGGACAAATGGAAATTAATAATTTTAAGATAAACTATAATATTACAAATTTAAATAATTAAACAATATTTTGGTCCGGTCCGGTATGGTACCGGTTCTCATTTTATGAGAATCGGTCGTGACATTGTATGGAACCCAGAGGCGGATCACAGTGAGGGCAGGGATGGGCTCCAGCCCAGCCCAATTATTTTTATTTTTATTAGTATTGGTATATTTAATGTCCAGCCTAGCCCAATATTAATGTCCAGCCCACTCCCAAATTAAAACCCAGCAAGCCCGAGTCTAATAGCAGTCTCTAGACTTATTACCGACCTGCGGCCTTTCTTCGCAACTGGGAACTGCGAGGAAGATGAAATGCGAAACGCGAAGAGCTGAAGAGCCAGAGGAGACCTGCGGCCACCGGCTGCGCCTCCGCCTGCCGTCCAAGTTCCTGCGTCAGCCTGTCGACTCCACCGCCCCAGCTTTCCAGGCGTAAGGCGACTAGGCAGTCCAACACTCTGTCCTCCAGCCTCCACTCTCCAGCCCTCTAGGTATACTCTAAGTCTATATACTCTTTTAATGTACGTAGTATCATTTTTTGAGCTGTATCTTGTGACTTTGTGTTTTTTTTTTGTTTCAATTTTGTAATTCTATTTGATTATTAATTGAATTTTTCAGTAGATATTAAAATATTGTTTATTCATTATAAATTTATAATGATCAAAGATAGCATTAAAATTAGAGAATGGTTTATTTACTACACAATTGAAGATTAGAGAATGATTTATTTATTGTGTGGGCATGTAAGAAAGAATTAAAAATTACAATTGAATTTTAAAATTGGGAATACGTATTAGTTTTATGTGCAACGATTGTTTTTTCTTATTAGTTTTATAATTCTATAGAAGTATTTTAATTCATACCAATATTGAAAATGTTATTTAGAATGGATAATGAACATACTGCCAAGAAAGGAAAATGAAATGAATATTTACCTAGTATGAAATTGAGCTCGAGTTCGGCTCGATAGATTTTCGGTGTTCGGTTTTACGCTGAATAATCATGCTCGATAGATTCATGTTTGAATTATTCAATAAATACTCAAATCTTTAATAATCATTAAGAAATTTATAATATTGCGCTAAAACGTTTAAATTTTAAGATATATGCGAAGTATAATTTATTCATATAATTTATAAGTGAACGACAGGATCACGTCCAGATTGACCCAAACATCACTATGTTCGAACTCGGCTTGAATAACTTTTCAAACTCTAAACCTAGTCCGTGTTTGAGTTCGAAGCTCGTTAAGCTTGGACCATTAAATTAGATTCGTAATCAAGCTCAAACTCGAGTTTATAATTCGAAAAAAGCTCAATTCAATAACACTTCTGAGTTAAACCTTGTATGTATAATTGTATAGTAACAATTTTTTTACTGTTTAGCCCACGTGCCACCCCACCTTTCAATCCAGGATCCGCCCATGAATTGGAACCGGTACAGTCCGGTTCGGGACAAAAAATTTGAGATCCGTTTCAAACTCCTTTTATCGGTCCGGTACCATATCGGTCCTGTTCGGTACCATGCCGGTTTGGTATTTTTGCCCACCCCTATGGTTTACCAACTTATATTGCATAACGCGAGTTGGTTAGTAGCCAACCCGAATAAATTGGACGGACCCACAAAATATAACAAACCTGCCTTAGACTGTAGATGCTTGGCGGTTGTTGAGTTCCCAGTTGTGCTTCGGTGACTTTAGTTCTGTACAGCCTTACTCCTTTACTTCCTTCGGTCTTCACCTCTTTCAGAAGTGTGCAGAACTGCAGGCATCTTAGGGTAAGCTTTTTCGACCCTATTTCTTTGTCATACTGAGTTCACCTTTTATTAAATATAACTTTTAAGACAAAAGGAAATTAAAATTATTTTATTATACGGAGTAATATTCTTTGCCGAAAGAATACTTTGGTATCTTTAAATGCTTTATAAATTAAAGTGAAAATGAATTACCAGTTCATGGAAAATGTGATAATGTCACAGTGCGAGACCAACCCCCGGCCAAAGTTTCTGGATAGTGAATACGCCACTGCTCAACAGGACAACACACATTTTCCAAAGTTTGAAATTATTGTTGTCTATTTGGTTGCTCATTTGTGTGTATGACCTAAGTGTTTATTTAAACTATTGTTAATTTATTACCCCCTCCATCTAAAAAAATTGTCCTCTGGAAGCTAATTATTGTCCCAAAAGAAGAGGAAGAAAATTTAGAGAAATGGTTGTTGTACACGTTTTTTATAAGTGCTTCATACAAACTCTACGATAACTGCATTTGTACATAAAAAATGTGTACAAATGGCATTTTCCGTAAATTTTTGTTACATAACATTCCATTATTCCTTACGGAGTATTATTTGTTTATAAGTATGCCAAGTAAGTTAGTTATGTTCCCTGTAGTTATAACTAGTGATTTTTCATTAAATTCAGCCATACTTAGAATTAATGTATCATTTTCTTGTACTCACTCTGTGGCTAACTGACTATTGGAATTGAACCAATCGCCATAAAAGTTTTATTCAGTTGTTAATTGTGTCTTTTTAAGATTGTTTATTTGTATTTGTTTGTTTTAATTCATTTTTCGGATTTCTTATTGATCTACCATTGTTTCTATGGAACAGGAGTTCTACACCATCAATGTCCGTTGTCTTCTCTCTAAATGATCAGAGGAACAACCATATTTTCAAAATGTTGGACAGCTCATTCACATCTCTTCATCCGCTTATCTTCGTCTGCTACACCTTTCGATCTCAAGAGCGGCATTGCATCGCTTCAAGCATGTGCATACCAAAGGAATCTCAAAACTGGCAAACAACTCCATACACTCATGCTCGTGACTTCCCTTGTAAAATTCTCCCCAGTCTGCATCACCAGCCTTATCAACATGTACTCCAAGTGCAATCCCAACTCCATGTCTGATGCCTTCTCTGTGTTCTCCGCATCCCCTCCTCATGCCCGCAATGTATTCGTTCATAATGCCCTTATTGCCGGCTTCGCGTCTCATGATCTTCCCAATGCAGTTCTTCAAATATATTTGGATATGAGAGTGCTGGGACTGGTTCCTGATAAGTTCACATTCCCTTGCGTAATTAAGGCAGCTTCTTATAGTAATAATCTGATATGTATGAAAAGTATTCATGGTTTAGTGTTTACGCTTGGGTTGGACTTTGATTCGTTTGTAGGCAGTGCGTTGGTGCACTCATATCTGACATTCGGCTTGACAGAGGACGCTGAGGAGGTGTTTGATGAATTGTCCCTTAGAAATGATGTTGTTCTTTGGAATGCAATGATTAATGGATATTCCCAAACTGGAAATTTTGACAAGGCTATGGAGGTGTTCACCTGGATGATGACGGATGACGGTGTTTCACCAAATAGGTTCACTATTACAGGTGTATTATCAGCTCTTTCAAACATAGAATCATCGGTGCATAAAGGAAGGGAGATGCACGGATTCATCACAAGAAAAGGGTACGATGAAGGCGGTGTTGCTGTTTCGAATGCATTAATAGATATGTATGGGAAATGTAAGCGAGCTAGTGATGCTCTCGGAGTCTTTGAGATGATGGGTGAGAAAGATATATTCTCATGGAACTCAATACTGTGTGTTCACGAACAATGTGGGGATAGTGAGGGAACCATTCGGCTTTTCAAGCGGATGCTTTGTGCAGCCCAAACGCCCCCCGATTTGGTCACTGTAACCACTGTCCTCCCTGCTTGCTCTCATTTGGCAGCTCTAAGACATGGTAAGGAAATTCACGCCTACATGATTGTCACTATGCTAAAGAACAATGTTGACAGTGACAATGACTCTTTCATTGACAATGCTCTATTGGACATGTATGCAAAGTGTGGGAACATGAATGATGCTCAGATGATATTCAACACGATGAAATTTAGAGATGTAGCATCATGGAATGTCATGATTAAAGGGTACGGAATGCATGGAGATGGGAAGAAAGCGTTGCGCATGTTTTCCCATATGTGTGAAACAGGAATAAAGCCAGATGAGGTCACGTTTGTGGGGGTGTTGTCCGCTTGCAGCCATACAGGTCTTATCAACCAAGGGAGGGACTTTCTTTTAAGTATGCTCCCCAAACACGGCATTGTGCCGTGCATAGAACACTATACCTGTGTGATAGACATGTTTGGTCGGGCTGGGCTGCTTGATGCTGCCCATGACTTGTTATTAATGATGCCCGTGGATCCCAATCCCGTAGTATGGAGGGCTTTTTTAGCCGCATGTCGTCTCCACGGGAACGCTAATCCGACGGTCATTTCTGCCGCATCATCAAAGTTGTTTGAGATTAATCCGGAGCATTGTGGGAGTTATGTCATACTATCCAATGTTTATGGAGCAAATGACCGCTATGGAGAGGTTCTTGAAGTTAGAGATGCCATGAGGGTTCAAGATGTCAGAAAAGTTCCTGGTTGCAGCTGGATTGAACTTAGTAATGGTGTCCATTCGTTTTTAACTTGTGACAAATCTCATCCTGAAGGGGACCTTATCTATGATGGGTTAAATTCATTGACTACCCGACTGCGTGAACATAATGGGTACATGGCGGGTGATGCATTAGAGTGCAATATGTGAAAATACTGCTCCTATAGTTTTTGAGCCCATGTGTTTATCAAATTTAAATACTATTATTATCTTCTATGTAATCTATATCTATATACCTAAAAGCGCTAGTGCTACATGATAGACAAAAAATTATCCCGTCCGCAACACCGAAAGAACTGATTGGTGAAGTCTTTGGCAACTTGTGTGTGCTAACCGGCTTTGTTTCACATGCACCCACGCACAACGAACCCAGCTTCAGGCAAAAACGAAGGTTGGAGATATTACTTCTGCCGTAGAGAACTGCTTCTTCCTGGAGTCTACGAAACCTCAGCCACACCAATTCACTCTGGCTCTTCTTCGACGCAAGTGTTCTACACACATTAGAAAGCTATATTCAGGCGAAAAAGAAGGTTGGAGATAGAACTTCTGCAGTAGAGTACTGCTTCTTCCCGGAGTCCACAAAACCTCAGCCACACCTATTCACCGTGGATCTTCTTCGACGTAAGTGTGCTACATAGATTAGAAAGTCATAAACACATGTTTTTGTAACTTTATTAGTGAAGATTTGTTATATCTTATGAAAATATTATATTATATTTGTTAGCAAGATAGTAATGGGCCTAATGGCACATGTTGATATTTATGCTCAACAGTTATGGGGTATTTGACAAGAAACTTTCACACTAGCCCAGTTCCTAAAAAACCATATCAGATTACATATTTTTAGGCGGAGAGAGCATGTTTTGGACGACAAGCCTCCGTAGTTCAATAAGCATGGATTGCATTTGCACCCAAGACACTCCAAACTCCAGGTATTGTGTAGACTTCTGAACAGTCACTTCACGTCTATTATATTTTCCTCAAAAGGGCAAATGCTCCATGTTAGCATAATCATTACTAAATTACGTGTGCATGCATGCACATGAGTAAGTGCGGTCAAACCGCCTTTGTTATTATCCCTTGTAAATAATTGATATTATCTCTTTAGAAATAGACTTAGCAAATCTTATCCGTAGGGTGTCCATGTTCAATGTACAGAGGAATACGGATGCCATGCGCCTTAATTGTTAGTCTGTTAACATACGTATAGACGTATAGTATTATACTTGTACTCACTTAGACTTTATTTAAAGAGCATGATTGAATAAGAATACTCACGGTGAAATTTACCTCTCTTCTAACTTGGTATCAGAGCCAGGTTCTCTTCTTCCATGGCTTCTCCCACCCCCAAACAAGCTTCCTTTCATCCCGCTCTTGCGGTCTCCAATATTAAAAACTTTATACCCATCACCCTTGATCTTGATACTGTTGAGTATACCTCTTGGGCTGAGCTTTTTAAAATTACCGCTAGAGCATATCAAGTCCTCGATCATATTATCCCATCACCTAATGATGACGCATCATCATGTGTCGTCCCGCCATCAATATGCCGACATTTTTACAAAAGGATTGCCCAAAATTTTATTTGAAGATTTCCGTTCCAGTCTAAGCATTCGTGGACCTCCAGCTTCGATTGCGGGGGCGTGTTAGCATAATCATTACTAAATCATACTCATGTGCATGCATGCACATGAGTAAGTGCGGTCAAACTGCCTTTGTTATTATCCCTTGTAAATAATTGATATTATCTCTTTAGAAATAGACTTGGCAAATCTTATCTGTAGGGTTTCCATGTTCAATGTACAGAATACGGATGTCATGCGCCTTAATTGTTAGTCTGTTAACATACGTATAGTATTATACTTGTACTCACTTAGACTCTATTTAAAGAGCATGATTGAATAAGAATACTCACGGTGAAATTTACCTCTCTTCTAACTCCAAACTGTTTCAGATTTTAGACTTTCCTGAATCCTTGACTACAAATAATTTGGTATTCAAGTTCTTTTCATGAATTTCCATGAAAGACAAAAAATATTCTGGGTGAATGGAATTTGATGAAAGCGAAAGTTGATAATGATTTTCCGCCGTTAGAGGGGTTGAAATTTTACGCCGCCCCTATCAATATGGGGTTGGAGCGGCAGAGTATACTTATTTTAAGTGTTTTAACACTTGGGATTGCAACTACGTCGGAGTAAATAGCGTTGGCGAATGAACGAGTTGTGGCTGGGAGTTTGTATCAGTGCTGGATCGTGAAGCCTTGGTCGGCCGCTTCGACGGTGGTGGAGTTGATATTCACCATATTGCAAGAGCTCGTCCTCCTCCGGAACCACCTTCATACCAGGAAAAATTTTGTGAAAAAATATTATTTCATTATTATTTTCTCTTTACTAGACCACCTTCGTCCCATTTTTTGTGTCTCATTTGATTTTGGCACAATTTTTAATAAAGTGGTTGAAAAGGTAAAAGTTATTGTTAAGATTTGAGTATAGTAAAGTGAAATGTTGTGAATCACATATTTCTTTCCAAAAAGAGAAACGTGACACTTATTATGGGATAACCCAAAAAGATAAGTAGGACAGGTAAAATGGGATGAAAGGAGTACTTGTTTCTGTTTTAGTCGGAGTAGATTTGGTTTGAATGTTTGGATTTTTGGAGTTCTTTTGTTAGGCAGGGTTTCAGATTCGTTCGTTTTAGGCTTAAATTTGCCCATTTCAGGTTTAGGGAGTTAGGTTGGTTTGTATGAAGTGACTGACTCTATGTCTATTCCTAGGGTTCACGATTGCACTCTATGCCAGGCACTCTTTTACGATAAAAAAAATAAGAATTGAGTGAATTCATATTTGGTAGGAAACTAGGAACCTGATTGAGTAGATGATTTTATCAGATCAATTCTATCAACTATCTTTAGCTTTAACATGAGTTGTTGATAGAGTTACCATATTTAAAACTGAAACAAAAAATCATACGAACTACGGAGTATATATGAAAAAATAGGGAATATCTCGATTTGATACTTTTCATCTCAACTTTAGCTCATAAAATATCAAAAAATACAATAAAGTTAACGTCACCAATCAAATTGTACTGGACACTTTAATACAATCTTGGGGGTTAGAGTGAATTTAGTTGCTTTTATCAATACACTACTTTTGGATAATAATTTGCAGTATATAGAGAAAATATACATGATTCAATGGGCTGGATACTTTATTAATTTTTTGATACAATTTTTTTCCAGTTTGCAACCAAAATGAATTTGTTTTAATTTCACAAAAATAGTTGTCTATGATTTAATATCAAATTATGCGAGATCATATGCTTTTATACCCTCCCTCCCTTAGTTACTGTTACCCGCCGACCAGTGACCAATTGGCACCCGCAGTCCGCCAGTGACCCGACGCCACCCTCCAGTGATCAATCATCGCCCCATCAGTGACCACCCTGCCACTATACCTCTCCGGCGGCCTCCCCCAGCCTCCTTCTCCAGCCCCCTCTGTAGCTCTTCAGCCCCAGCCCCCTCCCAAGCTGCCCCAACCACCGCAACTCACCCCAAACCCCTATCCCTGCCTGCCGCTCCCGCCACAACAACTTCCCAGCAATATTTGGACCACCATCATCATCAACTGCCCCTTCCCCAAAGCCTGGTCCCGCCCCTGCCCGCCCTCATTCCTAATCAGTAGCCCCATTGCCCCCGACCCCGCACGCATCTCTTTCCCATCAGTAGCTTGCCGATTTGTAGCCACTGCTGTCACTACACCTATAGATTGAGGGATGAAGATGGATGAAATAATAGCCAAGTCGATGCTCTAGCGGGGAGAATGGAGAAGAACATTGGAGGGCCCGCGGAGGCATTGCGGCGTCGAATCAGTGCGGCAGCAGGGAAAACATCTGCCGCTGCAACGGCGGTATCGCGGCGGCTGCGGTACAGTGGTGGCAGATATGAAATGGAAGAGTTGCGGCAGACTTGAAATGTGTGGGTTAGGGTTTTTGTGTTGTATTTATGTGAGTATTTCTTTTATGCATATATAGATTAGTGTATACGTTACGGTGCACATTTTAGAAAATTATTGGTGTGGTTGTATTAGTGTCATAGTCGCAGTACTTGGGATAGTAACCATAGTGCTTTTGTAATGTGTGTGTAGGAGACTTTTTGTGAGCGTTTGATTGAATGTGAGGTGTTTTGTTCCATTACTAAGATTAGCATCTGAAATTCATTTACAGGCATCACATTTCGTAAGGTCGCTTGGCTGATGGATCAACACTGAAAAAAGTTGTATATTTTTGCGTCAAATGTTTTGACATGTGGTTAGTTGTACATAATTGTCGTCAAATGTGTATAGCCTTTTCTTTTTCTTTTTTTAAATATTAGGTGCAACCATTACTTCTATTACACTTTTGAGTCAGTATGCTGTGTCTTATAATCTTGGCCATATGTGCTATTGTGATTCTATTACAAGTATTGTAGCCGTGATGTACGGGACAATAATATACTATCCTCCGTCTCTTTTTAACCGCAACATGTTGAATTTTACACTATTCACATGTTCTACTTTGACTACATTTTATATTATTATTTTATGAAAATTAATTTTTTAAAAATATTGTTCAATTCATCTCATTACAAATTTTCAAAATCTACTTTTTAAATATTTTTTACTAATAGAGATTAAATAATAATTACGGTCAAAGACGTGCGTTGGCAAGTGTGAAATGTTGACCGTTGCAACTAAAAAAGAACAGAGGAAATATTTGTCTTTTATGTTTCTTAGTTATTCAAATATGCTCATAAGAGTATACTCTCTTCGTCCCTATATATAGTCCCGGTTTGAGATGCACGCATATGTTAGGAAATATTTTGTTTCCCTCTTGACTTCCTAAAATACCTTTTTCATTGAAGGGTAACTTTTATTGTGAAGTACATTATTTTAACATTGTTTTAAATCATTTTGCACTGCGACTTTATTTTTTTTAAGGATGGTAGAGTAAGTTCAAACTCCGCATAAATTTGGTTATCAAATAGGGAAAGTGGACTTTTTTTGTGGACATCCGTAAAAGTAAAACATATAGCCTATTCAGGGACATAGAGTAATTTAGAATTTAGATTACATAAAAGAGGAAGTTTAGGTAATACTCCGTATTACTCACTACGTATATGCTAATAACCGAATTAATTAGATGATGGGTTACATTGATGCTATTAACTAAACACTGATAATGACATGTTTTAGAAAGTGAGAATTTGACTTTGTAACCCACGTCCCCACCTTTTTTGGGTGATATTGGACTTTGCATCTGATTTTAAAAAAAACCTTTGACTTTGCACCTAAGGATGGCAATGGGGGCGGGGATCCGTGGGGATGGGTGATATATTTTTACGCCATTAAAATATGGAGTGGGGGATGAGAATTGTTACACCCGTCCCGTTCCCGTTATAAATATATACTCAAGCGCACACACACACATATATAAATAATGTACAAACTTATTAAATTAAATTATATGTAGCTTATGACAAACGCATATACATGTACATATAAACATACATAATTGTATACAGTTTAGTCATGGTTAATGAATTAATACATATTATACTAGAATAATAATAAGCTAGTAATGATAAAAAATATTTATCATAAATGTTATATGAGTTTTAAAAGTGAGTAGATAAACACACACACACACACATTTATATGTAATATGTACTACCTCCGTCCCATTTTATGTGTCTTAGTTTGACTTGACACGATTATTAATGAAGTGGTTGAAAAAGTAAAAGTTGTGGTTGAGGTTTGAGTATAATAAAGTGAAATGGTGTAGACCACATATTTCTTTCCAAAAGAGGAAAGTAGACACTTATTTTGGGACAGATCAAAAAGGAAAGTAGGACAGGTAAAATGGGACGGAGGGAGTAATTAATAGTGTTATAGTTGTTGAGAATTTTGAAACGGCGTACATGGTGATAATATGTTTACTTATGTTTTTTACTTTAACTGTCTTCTATTCACAAAACTTATTTAATTTGAAGAATTATTAAAATTGGCGGTATTAACTTTTAACAAACACACTTTAGTGTTGCATGTGTGTGTGTAGGATTAAATGGGAACAATGTTTAATATGAGAATGTGCGAACATCACATTTAGCCCCAATGTGACGCACAATGGGCTCACAAAATGCACTTTTTCGTATCAAGCATAATATTTACAAAAGTGCCGCCGTGATTACTTATATTAGTTTGTATTGAGCAAAGTTCAAATGTGCACTAGAAGACTCTATTGTGTATCACATTCAATTAAATGCCAATGTTCTCACGTTTTCACGTTAATCATCGTTCTCATTGGAACCACACCACATATATATTTATAATGGATTAAAAGTATATGCAAATACGATAAATATAATCTATATGGGGCACCCGCGGGCACCCGCGGGGGAAAACGGGATGGGGGAGTGTACCTCCGCCCCAAACCCGTCCCATTGCCATCCCTATTTGCACCCTATCATATAACATTTGTGAATGAAAATTTCTAAATGGGGTGCAAAGTCAATGGATTTTGAAGTGAAATGGGGTGGAAAATCAAAATTTTTTAAATGGGGTGCAAAGTCCAATATCATTCAAAAAGTGGGGTGGAAAGTCAAATCCCTCCTATTAGAAATTCCTATTCTTTTAGTAAGTTGTATAAAATTCTCTTGATTTCATAAACTGAAATGTGTAATAATCAAAATAAGTGAAATTTGAATTACTTTCCTGGCTAATTTTGTACAATCTACTAAAAAAGACAATTTTAGATATTTATATAATTATTTCTTTATTTTATTTATATAATATATTTTGAGTATGATTTTTCATGTAATCATACATTCACAACTTCAACCAATTTAGCTAATGCAATCAAAAGTTCATAAATTTCAATAGAATCAATCGATTCAGTCATATGATCAACATTTTTTTTTGCTCTTTTTTTTTCTCAATTGCCTGTTTAACAAAATCCAAGAAATTTCATATCCCAATTTCTTAATTTCCATTTTATGGACAAACCATATGAGTTTTTCCCAATAAATTCCAATGTTGGTCTTACAAGTTTTCTGTCAATTCCACATTTAATCTACATCTTGCTCCTTTTTCACTTTTGATACATGACTATTGAGTTTTCGCCCATATATGATCCTTCCGACATTGTTTCTGATAGTTAAAATCGCCGAAAAAGGACCACAAATGATTAAAAAAACATTATTCAAATACCAAAGTGAAAAAAGAAAAAATGTGGATTAAAGTTGGAATTGAGGCAAAATTCGTAGGACAAAAAAATGGAATTAATTCGAGTTTTGCTGTTCATTTAATTTGGCCCGTGTTTCTTGTGACCCGGTTCGCTCTTGGAAGCCTTTCAAATTCCAATTACTCTATCAAAATTTTGAGCATATCATTTACGCAAAAGATACCACGGAATACTCTTTAGCTCCATCTTCAATATCTACACCTCCATAGTTAGAGCAAGAAGGTGTGGGCACCATCCTCCAATCTCCCAAAGGTATTTTTCTCTTCATCCTTTTCTAAAACAAGATAGTCTTTTCTTTCCCTGGATTTTATTTTTGAGATTTTACCCGGATAAAAATTGTGTCGTCTAATGGTTATGAATTTATGGGTTCTTCATTTTTTCTTCACCTACTTTCCTTACGTTTCTGTTTTTTCATTTCAGTATTTTTACTAATTTCAGATCCATGAATCCCTATCTGAAGTACTCCGTATGTGTTTGATAATAAATATTTAAATAGTTTTAAACCTACTCTACTGCCTCCGATCATTATAGTAATTTATAAATTCACAACTGATGAAAGTATGAAACCACACAAACAAACACAAGTAGTAGGAATATGATGTAGGATAATATCCTTCTATTTTAAAAAAGGATTAGTCCATATTCTAACTTTACATTTTTTGAGAAAGTTTCTCAATGAATACTTTTTGACAAATGAACATCAACACAATGTTTGTTTCCATAAATTATGGAAACAGAACAATAAATGTTTCATGAAAAAATAAGCAATGCATTCCGGAATTGAATTATGACTACTTTCTAAAAGGTTCCTTATATATTAGTGAATATATACATACATATATATACATACATATATATATACACACACGTAGTACTATTTTTAGTTTTGTTTCGAACACCCAAAACATAAGAGCTAGATCTGCTCAGGAAGAACGAAAATGGCGGCCTCGTTCAGATGGATATTGCAGCTACACAAGGACGTCCCGAAAGCTGCTAAGTTCTACTCGGAAGGATTGGGTCTCACGATCAATGTCTGCACTCTTCGCTGGGCCGAGCTCGAATCTGGCCCTCTCAAACTCGCTCTCATGCAATCCCCCAGGTAAATCTTATTTCTTGACTCTTTATCTATTTGTCTTATTTCTTGCCTTAAATGAGAAGTTATTAGTAGAATGAGAAATTCTTTTCTCTTTCACTATTAACCTAATTGGGGAAGTGTTAATTTTAACTTGCAATTAGTGGTGAGCACCAGCCTAAGACCAGACCAGACCAGACCGATACTGGCTTGGACGTGTTCAAGATGAAGACCAGACCGGAACAATCCAATCCAAAATCAGGCCGGACCAGATTAGTTTGGTTTTGATCGGCTGGGTGTATGACCGGAATTTAAATCTTTTTTAAATTGTTTTCTCCAAAGTGGGGTTTAATTGTCAAAAAATGTCATGCTAGCTTTGTAATTCTGTTATGCTTTTGTGCTATTTTTACTTTTATTTTGCTTATTTGTAAATGTCCGGTATGTCTGATGCATTTGTAGTTGCTTTTGGTCAATATAAATATAATTCCTCCAACTTCGATACAATGTTAAGCCATGTGTCTTTTGATTCTTTGATCTGATATTGCATTGTCTTATACAAGATGATGTACCATGTGCATTGTGCAATCAAATGATGAAATGAATATTTCTCAACTACAAAGTGGGCATCTTTTATAGTCAAATGAATATTGTATTAAATGTAAATGTGCAGAAAAAATATAGTTTTGATAGAATGACCATTCAGGTATTACGAAATGAGCAAATGCTAATGAAAATTACAATCTTTACTCCATATATTTACTTTTGTGTAGTGCAGTGCTGCCAGTGCATTATTATCTTTTACAGTGTTACAACTCTAGTTTGTTAAATACTTCAATACTATCATGTTGTCAAATAAACACGAATAATCCCAGGTAGAGAATATATAGATGAAACTACATGAGAAAATTGGAAGTAAAGATAATGTGGGAGAAATTTTAACATCTGTCCGAATTAGGCAGATATATATTTTCGTAACTCAATTTTTCTCGTGTTTAATTGTATCATGTACTACCTGCGTCCCGTTGAAATGTTCCCATGGCAAAAATGCACGGTTATTTAGGCAATAATTAAATAAGGTAGTTCGAGTATATTTGAAAAATAATTTTAATAGGTATATAATATAATGGAGTTAGTGTTGATAACTATGATGTTATAAATGTATTATTTTTAATATTTAATGATTAATTTGTCATTTAAGATTGTTAATTGTTTCCTAAAATGGAAATCGGAACTTTTATATGTGACATCCAAAAAAGGAAAGTGGGAACCTTTCTATGGGACGGAGGAAGTAACTATGTAAGCGACAAGCCGACATGAAATTTAAACATGTGTAAAAAAAAATAAAAAAAATATACTAGTTATGTGTATTTTTTCTATGCACTTACTGGGGCAACCACACAAGAAGCAATCTTTCTTAGACTTTCTTTTGTTACATAGCATTTTCCGTGATTCCAACATGCCCTAATTGCTATGGATATTAGAATTCTTTGGTTGAAGTTCAAACATGCCCTAAGGTTATTTCTTTTTGCTATGGAGAATAGAATTCTGTGATTCAAGTTCAACGTTTTGAGGTCAAGAGTCAATGGAGTCGGTACAATTTAGCAATCTTGGAGTTATGATAGGGGAGATTAGTTATACTCAGTGAGATTTTAATTTGGACTAGGTAAGCATGAATCTAGTTCGGGCTTATGCAATGGCAAAAGATATCTCAAAGTAGCTTGCTCAGGACAGTTGAAAACAAAAATTTACACAGATTGCTGTGTTGCCCTGGCTAGTTGGCTTTAGCTTTTGTACTTTTACTATGATCAAATATTTCCTATTTTCGGAATAAAACATAGTTACTCCTATTTGTGCATTTTCTCTATGTTTTAGTCCTATTTGGAGCAATTTGTATTAAGCATTTTATAGAGCTTCACAAATCACACTTGAGAACATCGGGGTCCTACTTCTATCTCCCCATACCTTGAAAGTTGGATCTTGAAACTGGTCTTGCTGATTATGCGTTGGACCGTTTAACAGAACCAATATCCAAGTGTCCAACCCTTGACAGGCATTATAGTCCTTTGTAGGAAGATGGAGAAGTAAACACCGAGCATCTTGGTTTTATTTTCTGCAAAATACTTCCTAAAAAGAAGTAAATGGTTTTTTGTTGAGATATATCACATTTGATCTTTTAAAAAATCAACCTTAGGGCATACTTCTTTGATATCATCTTCAGTGAAGCACTATTAGCCTTGGTGATGTTGATGATGCCTAGTTCGGTGCTTTTGTCACCCTCATGTACAAAACAACAAAGAACCTACATTTTTTCTTTTGACAAGTTTAATAAGAAGGGGTGCTGGAAAGCATATATGTGTGTATCCTTTAAATGTGCTTGTTTCAGATTTCTTCATTGTATTTTGTCTGAAGCAATAATCTGATCAACAAGTTATTATTTACTTTATTTTACAGCAATGATGTTGTAGAGAAGGGATATTCATCACTTATATCCTTCACAGTATCTGACATCAACAATACCGTGACGAAACTGTTAACATTAGGTGCAGAGTTGGATGGTCCAATCAAATATGAGATTCATGGGAAGGTATGTTCCTATTGACTAATTGCTTTTCTTTTTATGCTCCAGATTTTTATGCTCCAGATTTTCCATGTTCGCGCTGTTGTGTATTTTTTACCCCATTGTGTCAGGTGTCATTTGGTTGTTGAGAATGTAGTTCACCTAAGAAATCAATATATATAACGGTGACCTTACTAATTGGCCCGAATGATCCCATGGGCCCCAATATTTAACAATCAGGCAAACCTACCTTTGCCTGCAGGGGATTCAGAATAGCTTCTTTAGAGAACTTCTGAGAACTTCAGTGGTTTGAACAACCCCGAAGGTTAAGCTTAACGTTGTTGTGAGGATTAATAAGTTCTGATTATGAAAGAATATATCATGACCAGGAAGGGGACATTACTCCCTTTAGCTCAAGTGTTCAAACAGTGCGCATTTAATTAGTGTGGGTTTTGTACTCTTGTGACCCCGCATACACTGTGCACGTCAAACACTCATTGGCTAGAGCACTGACGCATTTTCTCAACATTTTGGTGGCAGGTTGCTGCTGTGAGGTGTGCTGATGGGCACATGGTCGGTCTTCATGAGCCTGTCTAAGAGTGAGACATGAGAGAATGGACGATCCTATGTGGTGCACTGTGTGTAGCAGATGCATATGGGAAAACTCACTGGTGTTTCGTATCTGCTCCACTGAACGGTGATGCTTTTATGTTGAAACATTCAACTGTATCGAATGACATGATGAAGAACAACTACGGTAGAACTATAGGTCTTTGAGGCTGCTACTAACAAGAAGCTGATGAAGAGCAATTGCGGTAAATGAGTTTGTATTTTACTCCGCAGTTTTCAAATGGAGACCAAGAACAAAAGAGAGGAAAAAACAGAGTCCAAGTAAATTGTTTTTTCTTAACTCAAGAGGTCATAAATTATCAAATTTGATTGTGAAACTTTGAAGTAAGAAACTTAAAACTAAAATTATACGGAGTAAAAAATTATTTCTTGTCTACGTAACGTTGACTCACTGAATGTGATTAAGGGTAAGGATTCTCCAATTTCTAATTATTAATATATCCTTATTCTATTCATTTCTGTAATTCTATTGGTGACTTGGCCTTGTGCCTTTGTTAGTAGATAATAAAATTTGAGAAACCAGGTCATGACCAAATGACCAATCCTATGATTCCTATTTGTGTTTCTAAATATAACTATATAAGTTACATGCAATTGACTTTTTATACTCAATTTTCATATTTGGTCATTACTAATTAGAATATACAGAAATATTTCCATAAAAGAATGCTAAGAAACCGGTTTAAAATAACACATACGGAGTATTAAAGATTTAAACGCAAAAGTCAAGATTATATTCATATCATAAGTAATACCAACTTACCAAGTACATTTACTATTGTAGTTTGAACTTAATTAGGATGAGGGTACAATAGAGAAGCTTCTCCGATTTTTCACCTCGTTTGGACTACTGTTGTAAAAGCTAATTAAGGCCTTTAAGGGAAAAGACTCAAAACAAAAAAGAGAGCAGTTAAAAGCGATTAAATTATACATTATTAACCTCATATGGAAAAATAGAAAATTCAAGACGTTTCAGGTGACAACTGACAAGGATAATGGTTAATGCTGTAGACAAGAATTGTTTGACAAGGTCAATAACAAGGGAAAAAACTAATTACTACAGTCTACAACATAGAGAGCTTATGTTGTATGATTCCTCCCAATAAGCTAAATAAATAAACATCTGTGAGATACAAGAAGAGTTGTATTTGTATTTTAGGAGGCATTGCATGTATTAGTGGAATCAAAATTAGTATCACAAAAAAACCAAAGCATCTCAGAAATATCCATTTTCAAATGCAAAACCAATCTTTTTAAGGAAATTACAAATTAAAAGTATCTCAATGTAATATTACATGTGCATTACTAAATATAACTTGATTCTATAAATAAAGTTAAATACTTGTATAAAAGAAACATATCCTAGCTATCAAATTACTAGTACCTCTTTATGTGATTGGTGAAATTGCAATAACGGTTAAATCCATTACTACTAGTACTCCCGGCGGGCTCCTCCTGATAAGCTTTCAACTGTGGCAAACCACCACTACCGGCCACCGCCGGAGGTAGCGCAGATGCCATCTCCTCCCTTTGATCCTCTGCATCCTCCAAATAATAACTTCCCGAGGACCCGAAATCCGTAAACCCATCGCCAACCCCCACAAAAGCAGCTGCCATCGCCGGAAGCGTGCACGTGCTTTTCAGCTCGTTCACCTGCACATAGATAGAAGGTGGCAGAGGGGGCAAATCTCCACCGCCCATGTACGGCGCCGCCGCCATTGCGGTAGTCCGGTCCATGTAGTACTGAGCTGTCAACTGTGACTGTCCATGCAACCCAATGTAATTTACTTGTTGCGGCGGCTGTCTGTATCCAACCGCCGCTGGATACTGTGGGTTTGGGTTTTCATCAATATAACACACCCCGCCGCTGTAGTAGTTGATCGGATTATCAAGAATCATGTTTGGGTGGTGGCGGTCGTAACGCACCACTTGTTGCAATGGTGTTACAAAGCCGGAATTATCCAAACCTGGATTACTATTCATATTATCACTTATGTAGTCATCATTATCATGGTGAAAATGACAGAATATTTCTTCTTCAAGATTCTTGTAAGAATTATTACTGAAATTAATCATCTCGAGCCGGGTATTCGAAGCCCGAAGCTTCCCATCCAAGAAACTTACAAAGTTCTCTAATTCGGGTTTGGACAGACCATCCAACAACTTCGGGCAAGTCGGGTATTTGGACTCCAACTTCTTTTGCTTCAACTTCTTCAGCTCTTCCTCCACCTTCTTCTTCCGGTCCATGTAGAAATTGGGCAGCCCGTAAACCCGGGCACCGTTTTCTGCTCCCTTCTCCTTGTACACTTGGATCATCCGTTCAACTTTGGATCGGTCGGTGGGCCAAATAGTGGGCTCAGACGATTGGGCCTCGTCCGGCAGCCCGTATATGATCATGCATGCATTCACATCGCATAATGTGGTGAACTCTTTAATTTTCTTCAATATTCCTTCCTTTCTCTTTTTGAAGGTGAGGTTTCGAGATTTCTTGTTTGGGATTAGTCTCAAATTTAGCTTTGCACGCCCCATAGATCTCTGTATAAAATATTCTATCAAAGAATTAAAGTATATCAAAATAGGAATAAACATAAAATATTCTCCCTCCGTCCCAATTTGATGGTTTGATTGCGGTTTACGAGGTTTGACCGACCATGTAGTAAACATATTCATGTTGACACTCAAATTATTTATAGTAAATAAAATTTACATATTCAGAAATTACATTAAAAATTTACAAAGTCGCAAAAGAAAAAATCAAATTTGATAAAAGTTTGATACATAAAGTAAGAGATTAAAAGTTGTTTGTGTTGACAAGTGAATAAGAAACATATCTATCACATTGAGACGGAGGTAACTACTACGTAGTATACATTATACATACTAGATTTATACAATTATACAAGTATATATGTACCTCGAATGAAGAAGTTCTGGAAAAAAAAATATAACTATTTAGCAAAGGGTTCAAAGGTATAAATAGGTTTCATCTTATATTATTTATTATTTAAGGAAGGAGCTAGACAACTAATTTGATCAAATGTTTATTGACTACGTACGTACTCAATTAAGGAAATATTTCTTAAGATTCTTTTGATTTCTTAAGATTCGTAGCATGAATTAGAATTTGCTAGTCTTGGAAAGCTTCACATTATTTATAGAAACTGATACATCAAATCATTACATGTGTATTGACAACCGAGTTAGTTATTAAATATTACTGGGCAATAAATTAATATTAATATACCACTACTCTTTATTAAATGTTACTCAGAATAATTGAAGAGAAAATTCCTAAAACATAAACGATGTGCACATAGGACTATTTATTGTTTTCTTTCTAAAATATGAGTCTTTCTTTCCTAATAGGGGAAGTTTTATACTTTTAATACGACCAAATAAGTTTTATTCCGGGATTAAAATACATGTAATCGTATTTGTGTATTGTCTAAGTTTTAGTCCTATTTAGGACAATTTCTAATAATTAGAATGCAACTAACACGATCAAGTATTATTCGGCCAATGAATATCATAGTCACTAATTTTTAGCATCATGCTTCGTATCATTCAAACATATCAGTTCATTCTGCTGAAATTTATGAAATTCAGGCTAAAGTGGATAACTTGACTGGTTTTGTTTATGTATGTAAAAAGTTATGTATATTTAAAATATATCTTGTTAATAAAATAAATAAAAACGTTATATTAAAATATAGTTAAAATGATATTGTACGAATATAGTCTTCCATATTTTAGTAAATCTTTTCGTAGATCATGCTAATTATGTATTCATATGTCTTCCCTATTCTTTTTCCTTGTATTTATGGTACTGCAGATTTTGTTACCTTATTTGTAGAGTCTCTAAAAAAGTTTCCTTTGTATATGTATTATCAGACATGCGGAAATACAGATCAGAATGAGGAAATCAAAACTTCTTCTAATTTGTCTCGCATAGTACTTTAGCCACTAGATATTGCTTCGGTTAATATTTACTACCAGTAAAGTATTGAAGACTGTATTTACACATATAGTCTATAGTAATTTCAGCTAATACATCCATAAAAGAACTTCAAATTTACTTTTTCTTATTATTACAGAATTCAACACGGGAAATCAAAATTTACGTGTTTAAAAGTTGATTCATAAGTTTGATAACATGAGAAACAGGGTCATCAAACGGGCTCCTGATAGCAATTACCATTAATAAGAGTTACAATCATTTGTTTGAGAAAAGTTGTAACTTTTTTTTATGTGAAAATGGGTACGAAGGTAATCTTGTTTCAAACGAAAAGTCCTTCTCAAGTGAAAAGTAAGAACTAATCTTGGTCATTGATGCAAAAAGAGGATGAAAAAGATCAAATTTTAAGCTAGAAACGTGGTGGCGTTTGATGATAACGAAGAATTTCAATGAAAATACCGTATATAACATATATGTAACGGAATATCTTCCAAAATAACATATGTAGCGGAATATACATAAACTGCATATGCAGTCATGCAGAGCACAAAATATAGTCTTTTTTAGCACTCGTGAGTGCAATTTTATTTATAAGCTATACATTTTTTAGTAAAGACACTTGCACATTATTTAATCAACATTCCTTGTGGCTTAAATTCATTATTTCCAAGTGATCAAAGACCAAATTTTATCTCAGTTTGCAATGGAGCACTACTTTATATTTGAACTCACTGACTGAACATAAATTATAATTATAAATTATAAATATATACATATATACATAAACCATTTATATTGAGAAAGAAATAGTCGAAATTAAAATGGTTGTAGTGCAAATATACGTACCTTGATCCTTGAATGATGAGGTTCTGAAAAAAAAAATAAACTGTTTACCAATGGTTTCATAGGTATATATAAGTAGGTTTCATCTTAATTATTTGATCATTGCCTATGGAGTATCGAGTTAAAAGACTTGTGGGAGATTTCTTGTGATTCTTAAGATTTCTTAACATTGGTAGCAAAAATTAGAATATGCTATTTTTGGAAAGAGAAACTGATAGATCATTACATGTGTAAATATTACCGAGTAGCACTCTTAGATTATTAAATATTACCGAGTAGTACTCTTAGATTATTAAATATTACTGGACAATTCAATAATAAATATAATAAATATTACTATATTAGTAGCACTCTTTATTAGTAGCACTAGGGATGTTTTCTTTTGGACTGAAATTTGCTGGTCTGGTCTGGTCTGTTTAAGTCTGGTCTGGTCTGGTTTGGTCTGTTTAAGTCTGGTCTGGTCTGGTCTGGTCTGAACTGGTCTGGTCTGGTCTGGTAAACGTCTGGTCTCTGTGTATTTTATAACTACGGAAGTCTGGTCTGGTCTGGTCTGGTCTGGTCTGTTTAAGTCTGGTCTGGTCTGGTCTGGTCTGTTTAAGTCTGGTCTGGTCTGGTCTGGTCTGTTTAAGTCTGGTCTGGTCTGGTCTGGGACTGAAAACAGTCCAAAAGAAAACATCCTAGCTCTTTAATAAGTTAGAATAATTAGTGTTCAAATTTTAGCATCATGATTCGTATCATTAAAGCATCAAGAGCTATTTGGTAATCCCTATTTTCACCTTTTCGGCTTTATCAA